TGGACGCAAGGACGTCCATCCTAGGGTGCGGGCTGTTTCCTCCGGTTTGCTTCTTAGGCCACCCGCACTAGGCGCCGTTGTGCATGTCCATGCTACTGGCTTTGATAGAACGATAGAACGATCGGTTGCGTCGCCGCCTGCACTCTCCGTCACTTCACTACCTTGATCCAGATCTCATTCTATGCACATCTCCGTTAAACTGGTCGCGCCTCCCAATCGATTCGTACGGTACTGATGCACGGCGATCGCGCATAGTTTGTACAGAGGTTGGGCGTAAAAATTATCGGCGAGAGGTCTGGATCGTGGGCAGATCTATACTCGTCTGTCGCCGGAGCGCTCGCATTATACTACGCCTGCATGAATTGCGGGTGGTGTAGATGATGATTACACATGCAAGTAAGATGGATATATGTGTCGTATCAGATATCTGCGATTAATAACGCTGCACTGCCCACATGTCTCCGCACATCATGGTAGTCGACATCATGAGCTACACAAAGCGTCAGTCCCCAACGTACTCTCCTCAGAGAAAGAGAAGTCCACTCACAATCCTCGACCTCGCCCCACGTCTCAATCTGGCTCGACACCTCAACCTGCGCAGCAAGCGCCGCCTGCTCAGCCGTGATCTGCTTATGCACCAGCGCAAGAGCAAGTAAGAACGACTTTGTGGTGTATGTCGCGCGTTCCATTGCGGCCATCTGCCACCTGTCGAACCCCTGCATCACCTCGTCGAGCACGACCTTCGACTCGGCAGGTTGCGGCTCGAACATGATCGTGTTCGTCGTGCGGACTTCGATGCCGAACTTTTCGCGCGCCCAGGCGATGACGGGGTCCCAGTTGTCGCGCTGGAGCTGGGCGAGGGCTTCGGGGCGGTCGGAGAAGAAGCTGGGCGAGACGGTGAGTGAGGATGAGGCATGAGGGATGAGAGGGAGGGGGGGAAGGGAGTACCATATTGTGTCTGTGTCGAAGTACTTGAGCAGTGCGGCGCGGACTTCTGAGCGCGTCTCTTCGTTGTCCATTGCGTCTATTGCGCGCGAAGTGATGGACGTCTACTCCCCATATACACATCAGTGTCGACCCAACTACTGAAGGAAGCCATAACGCACCATGGGCAAAGCATGCTGCTTCAACAACGCGACCTGATTATCCCACTCATTCGCAATAAGCGTCGCGACCAGCCTCTTCTCCTCCGGCAGCGCAAGCTTATTCCCTTCCGGCGTCTTCAACGCGCGCTTGTCGAGCGTCACAGCGAGCTTCCCGTCCCTCGTCTCAATGCCGACTTCTTTCCAGAAGCGTTTCAGACTCGTCTCCGCGCCTAGCAGTCCAAGCGCACGAGTTATAATCCAAAGAGTATGAGTATTGGTAAGTCAGGGACGCACGATTCGTCTGCGTCACGGGCGGCACTTCAGACGCGAGACCGCGGCACCATCTTGGTGCGCAATGTAGAGCGTGGGCGACGGGTCTGCGGCTGGCGCGTAGAGAGTGCCGGGCGAGTAGTGAGGGGATGACGCTCATTGACATGACGGTGCGAGGCGAAAGCCGTGACGCGACGCGGTCGGCTTATCCCGTGAGCGCGTTTGATTAGCGCGCGTCGACGCGTCGCGACGCGTTCGGAACTATCACCACCTAGTATTTCTTGGTTTTATACGAACTTACGAACTTTATGGCTGGAGGGAATCTGAGGCCTACGAATCAACAACCTACTCTATCCCGCTTCTTCGCGCAGTCTCCAACAAAGACCAAAGCCGGGCCGTCAACCACCGCTGCGAAACGCAAAGCTCCAACTTCGACGTCGAGACGCGATAGTTCGCCTATTGACCTTACGCTCTCGTCCGATGAGGCATCTACGCCTCCAGCAGCGAAGAAGCGCAAGACAGCACCGACGCACGCGCACGTGAACAGACATCTCTTTCTACCAGACGGAACGCCTACGCCAGAACCTGAAGCTGAAGCTGCACCGCACCACTCGGGTACCGCGCCGAACAGCCCGGTGCACGACCGATGGAAATACGCCGCGTCTCAGCCAGCCGTAGATCGTACCGCCAGCGAACTGCTCGAAAAACAGCAGCGAAGAGCGCGGCTGGCCAAGGCGCTTATTGCGGACAACAACTCGTTCCACCGGCCGCGCGCTGAGGCTGCTTCGTCGGATACTGAGCGGCATGGAGAGGAGGGAGAGGAGAGTGACTATGGGGACGGGGACGATAAGTTTAGGGAATTGCAGGCTGCGTTTGCGTTGAAGCCGGCGAAGGGGGGCGCGAGGAGGAAGGCGGTGCAGCAGCCGACTGTGAAGGGGAGGAAGGGGAAGGAGAAGGAGGTCGGGCCGAGTGGGCTGGCGTATACGCCTTTGGAGTTGCAGGTGCGTGCTGTTATATTCATCATGCGATGTGTAGAGGCTTAAATGTGCGTTGTAGGTCAAGCGGTTGAAGGAGGAGCACCCGGACTTGCTCCTCATGATCCTCATCGGGTACAAGTACAAGTTCTACGGGGAGGACGCAAAGGTGCGCTCTCCACACTCCCCTCTGCACGATCACTCGCTTACGCCATGGTGATATAGATAGCAGCGCAACACCTAGGCATAGTCGCCTACCCCGACCGCAACTTCACCTGCGCGTCTATCCCAGACCACAGACGCGACATACACCTGAAGAAGTGCGTCTTCGCCACCTCCTCCCTTGCTTACCCTCATGTCTGAACTCATGTGGCAGGCTACTCTCTCAAGGCTACAAGATCGGCATAGTCGAGCAGACCGAGACTGCCGCGCTCAAGAAAGCTAGCGAGACGCGCAACGAGGTGTTTGATCGACAACTGACGCATGTGTATACCGCCGCGACGTGCGTCCTCCCTCTCTCTCCCTCCCTCCCTCTCTCCCTCTACCCGTCTCACGATGTCCGCGCTGAACCAGTGTCTGTGCATAGGTACGTCGACGCGCTCGACTCAGTCGACGACGCAAACAAGAGCGCGCCTCTCCTCATGTGTCTCGCCGAGCACTCGCTCGGCGGGATGGGCGCGGACGAGATCGTCGGCGTCGGGATGATCGTCGTGTGCCCGAGCACTGGGGATGTCGTGTGGGATTACTTCAAGGATGGGCATATGCGGACTGAGCTGGAGGTACCGTACCCTTGCCGCGCTCAAGAATGGGGAAAGAGTGCTGATCTGATGTTCATAGACGCGTATGGTTCATGTTAAGCCGAACGAGCTGTATATACCTGAACAGTCGCTGTCGAAGCCTACGCAGAGGATGCTCAAGTACTTCGTCGGGTACGTCCCGCCTCACTGCGCACGTCATACCCCGCTGACTACTTCGACTTGTGCAGCCATGCGACCACCGAGCACAAGATCCGCGTCGAATACTTCAAAAAGTCCCTCCCGCACTCCGACGCCTTCGACAGAGTATCGTCCTTCTACACCGACAAATCCAAATCCTCAGCCTCAGCCGCGTCCGAGAGCTTCGCATCCGGTACGCCCTCCCCTCCCATTCACCATCTCTACCTGAACTAATGCTTATCGGGCTTAGGGAAGCTGATGGAAGCCATCGCAGGCCTCCCGAACCTCGTCACGATCGCCCTCGCGCACTGCATCGACTACCTCTCGACGTTCAATATCGCGGACTCTCTCACAGCGACGAAGTTCTTCACGCAGTTTACGACGAAGGAGCATATGTTGTTGAATGGGAATACCGTCACGAATCTGTGAGTCCTCCTCAGATGGTGGTGTGCGAGAGGAAGTGTGGGGGCTGATGTGTGGGGTGTGGTATAGGGAGATCTTCCAGAACGAGACGGACTTCACGAAACATGGGTCGTTGATGTGGATACTTGATAAGACGCTGACGAAGTTCGGCTCGCGGTTGTTGCATAGCTGGGTGGGCAAGCCGCTCGTGAACATCGAGTACGCTCGTCTCCTTTCCTCCATCTCACCTTCGACAGATGCTGATGTCGTCATGGCAGGTTGTTGAAGGAGCGGACCGACGCGATCGAGGAGGCCATGGAGGGCACGTCGCAGCGGCTGTTCATGTTGAGGGATGCGTTGAGGAAGCTGCCGGATCTGGCGAAGGGGTTGTGTAGGATCCAATACGGCAAGGTGCGCCATCATCTATAGTGGCATATAGGATTTATCAGCTGAACCTCGCGTAACAGTGCACCCCGCCAGAACTCGCAACTCTCCTCGAAGCCTTCGACAAAGTCTCCCGCCTCATCGGACCCGCAGACGACACCACTACCCGAAACCCCAACCAACCCAAATCGCCCCTCTGGCGCTCCATCCTCTCCTCCCTCCCACGCCTCTCCGAACCCCTCAAAGAAATCCTAGACGCCGTCAAGCTGAACGAGGCCGCCGAGGGGAGCAAGATCGAGATGTGGAGGGACACGGAGCGGTATCCGGATATTGCGGATGCGGATGTGGGGATGAGGGGCGTGGAGATTGAGTTGGAGGAGGAGCTTAAGAGCAGTGCGTGTACTCTTCGTTATGGTTGAGTGAAGTGATGTTGATGAGGGTGTAGTTCGGAAGATTCTCAAATATCCTTCGCTGAAATGGACGACGGTCAATGGCGACGAGGTACGCCCCCTCCCCCCTTTTACATCTCGATCCCACAACTAATCACGCCCACACAGTACCTAATCGAATACCCAAAAGACCGCGACCAAACCCGCATCCCCTCCTCCTACCTCCTCCACAGCTCAACCAAAAAAGCGCGTCGCTATTATACCCCCAAAATCAAATCCAAGCTCCACGAACGCGCGCGCTACGCCGAGCAGCGCCAGGCCGCCGCCGACAGAGCCTTCCTGTCGTTCTTGGAAGAGATTGCGGGGAGGCATTACGCGGTGCTGAGGGACGCGGTGAACAAGCTGGCCGTGGCGGACTGCCTGTTCGCGCTGGCGACTGTCGCGCATAATCAGGACTACGTCCGGCCCGAGTTCGTCTCCGCCTCCCCATCCTCCTCCTCCTCCTCCTCCTCGGAGTCGACGGAACTGGAGATCGTCGACGGCCGCCACCCGATGGTCGAAGAGCTCCTCGCCGCCCCGTTCATACCCAACTCGATATGCCTGGGCGGGGACGAAGCGCCGAACTGCACGATCATCACGGGCCCGAATATGGGCGGGAAGAGCTCGACGGTGAGGATGGTCGCGCTGCTGTGCGTGATGGCGCAGGTGGGGAGTTATGTGCCGGCGAAGAGGATGCGGATGGGGATGTTGGATGGGGTGCTGACCAGGATGGGCGGTGCGTTTTCCCACGTTCTTCTTGGACATGATAGTGGGGGACTTGTGCTGATGCGGATCGTGCAGCGTCGGACGAGCTGGCAAGAGGGCGCTCGACGTTCATGGTCGAGATGTCCGAGACGAGCGACATCCTGCGTACCGCGACGCCCCGCAGCCTCGTCATCCTCGACGAGCTCGGCCGCGGCACGTCCACGTTCGACGGCATGGCCCTCGCGCACGCCGTCACGTCGCACCTCATATCCGCCACGCGCTGCAAAACGCTCTTCATAACGCACTACCCCTCCGTCGCGACCTCTCTCGCGTCACAATACCCTCTCGAAGTGCGAAATGCGCATATGGGGTTTAGAGAGGAGAGGAGGGGGGACGGGAGCAGGGATGTCGCGTTTTTGTATAGGGTCGAGGAGGGGCTCGCGGGGGAGTCGTTTGGGATTGAGTGTGCGCGGTTGGCGGGGTTGGGGGATGGGGTTGTTGAGGTGGCGCGGGAGTGGGCGGGGAGGATGAGGGGGGTTGTTGAGGCGAGGAAGAGGAGGAATAGGTATGTTCTTGCTCTTCGTCGGATGTTGGAGGCTCATGCTCATCGTGGCTTCGTAGGGCGCGACAGGCTCTCAAGCAGATCGTGGAGTGCTTGGATGAGTCGACGACTGGAAGCAAGCGCGCGGCACTCGGCCAGCTCTCGTCTCTTATCTCCGGCATGGCGCTTTGACACCGCATTCTTCTTGCATTGTATGGACCATTCTTCACTTGACATGATATCTGGATCTACACACACTTGGATAACACTGTAGCATATATACAATCATGACCCAATATCCGTCGTACAGTCCGCCCGAGAAGAGCAAGATGAAGTATAGCAATATGCACATCAAGTCCCATGGGCGTCTCAGATCGTGAAGTAGAAAGCCGCCATTGCAGCACCGACCGAGAGCATAGACGTCATCTGTACTTGAGCATCTAGGGAGGATTCAGTTACAGAGGGACAACCAGGAAAGGAAGTCGGACTCACAAATGGCGCCGCTCGCCAACGTCGATCCCGAGACTGCCGTGCTACCGGCAATAACTGTGGCCGCCGTTGGAGAAGGGGATGCGTTTTGACCTACACTTGGCGGTCAACCTCTGCTCAGAGGGGTGCAACGTGTTGAAGACATACTCGCCGCACTGTTGTGATCATCGCCGTCGTTGTCGCTGTCGTTACCGCTGTTATCGTTATCGCCGTCACTGTCGGTGCCGGTTCCATCGTCGCCGCCCTTGTTCTTGTCGCCGTCGGTACTCGTGCTGTTGCCCGTTGCCGCAGACGGTGCGCTTGTGATAATCGGCGATGCAGAAGCAAGAGAAGTAGCTGCTGCGACTGTGGAAGACGCATCGCCATCGGTGTCCATTCCGCGATCACCATCTCCGTCATTGTCGATACTCGTCGCAGCAGGCATGACGCTGGCGGGAGCAACCGAAGCCGCCGGTGCAGCCGTGATAGCGGGTGCGGCCGACGAGGCAGCAGATACTGTGATAAGATCGTCGATCAGCACCTAATTGGCGTAATGAGGGCGGTCAATAAGCAATACGCACCACGGCCCGGGTCGGTGTCGTTGCCGCGGTCACCGTCAGGATCAGTACTGGTGATTGCGGTCGGTGCGGTCGTGATGATAGGTGCACTGGACACTAGAGACCTGCCCGCCGGAATCGAAGAAACAGCGCTCGACGCCGCTACGAGGCAGTATCAGCGAGAGTCTTTGTCCGGGAACAGGAGCAGGAGCCTACCCGAAAAGCGGTCATGGTCGTTACCATCGTCCCCACCATGATCGCCGCCGCGATTCTGGTCGTTAGTGCCGTTACCGTCGTTATCATTGCCATCGCCGTGGCGGGGAGCCGACAGGGCGGGAGAAGCAAGGAGAATGACCGCAAGAAATGCGACGCAGAAGATGTTGCGCTTGAGCTGCATTTTGGAAAGACGTCAGAGGGATACGAGGTAGTGCTGATCTCGACTGAAGATGTCTTCTCTCGGTCGTCTGGCATTTTATAGATCTGCTTCGCGCCGCATACGGTCAAGGACGGGGTTCATTTTGCGACACCAGCTTGACATGAGAGTTGGCCAAGAGCGCAAACCGGCGGCATGTTAGCACGAGCGAGGGAGAGATCGTCCAAAGACCTGCCAAACCAAGCCTCCGTCAGGGTACCAAGCGCAGAGTCACACACAGCCCCGCCCAGATGGCTGGCCCCAGTACGCATGCGGGGTATGTATTGGTAGCTGAAGCTGGTCACTTGTTCTCGCACCGATGTTGGGGTACACACGGCTTGAGCTGCGCAAGTACGAGGTCTGGGTGGTGAATTGTACAACCTTGAAAGCCTGTGCAAATGGCCCGATGCAAGGGAAACACGATCGGTTTATGGGAGCTGCGCTGGGAATAGGTACCAGGCGAGCTGCGGCCACAATACTCGTCGTCGAGACAAGGGCTGCTTCCAGCCAAGTTCACTCTGAGCGACTCTCGTACTTGGCGTACAGTGCTGTGCATTATCAGCGGAGAGCGGAAGACCATGGGTGCAGGAAGCAAGAACGGCATCCTCGGCGAGGTCGACGAGTTGATCGCGTCGTGACCGTGACCGACGCGTCGAGTTCGTCGACGCGCTCGCTGGCTTGCTTTACGCGATCATGCTCGCTCTACGTTCCACAAAGCGGCTATGTCGTACTGTGCCCAGGCTCGTACGCCTCATGGCACAAGACTCTACTCCGGGCGCTTCTTCAGAACCTACTCGCCCTGTACATCCTGAGGCCTGGGTTGAGGCCACACGCAACAAACCGTCCAAGGCGGAAAGCCCAGCTCCTTGGTTCCTGGACCCAGAAGACACGGAAGAATCTGCCCTAGGACACATTGATGAGAAATCTGGGCGTGGCATCCCGCAACCCAAGCGAGCGGAGGCGCGACCTTTACCTGAGGGTGTACCGGACGCTCTCGCGCACCTACACAAGCAACTCCTATTGTCTCCATTGATTGAACCTTCGGAGCTGCTCGTGCGGGAACCTATCGCTATGTCTTTGGGACCTGCTCTTCCAGATCGGCAACATGGAGCGAGACGCAAACGTGGTTCAAGAAATATCGAACTGGGTTCAGATCTTCCGCTCAGCGGTGGAGGTGTATGGGATTGGATAGTATTGGTCCAGGTATGTTATCCCTGGACTGATGAGAGCGATGCGTAGATTGATGGCATGACAGTTGAGGGAAGGCGTAGACCCCACAAGAGCAATGTCAATGATCATGAGCTCGACCCGGAAATCTGTGCGTCGTCTGATTCGCTTGCTCAAGGACCCGTACTGACATGTATCCAGATGGTGGCTCACAATAGACCTGTGCATCTCCCGACAAGATCTCAATGGAAGGTTGATAGCGGGTGGAAGATGGTAGACGCCAACGATTTCGCGATACACATTCTCACCAAGGAGGCTCGCCAGACATATTTCGAGAATACGGACGTATGGTGAGACTTGCATCGGATGTATAGGGACCGTGCCTCTCTTGCTATAGCTTTATAATCGATGCCTCAAGATGCACATGCACAAGCACTGGAGACGCGCACCTGCGCGAATACTAATATTATCCCTTTTTGGTCGCGATCACGTGTGTATCCGTCACTTCGTGGCCACTTCCGACCGTCATGGGCTCGTTATCTTGTCCGCACCTTCTCTTGCGCGGCCCGACTACTACAAAACTCGATTGGCTATCTCGACCCGGCGGCTAAGTACGTCGGTGAAGTCGGCTCGGCGGTTAAGCGGTAAATGGGTCCTGTGGTGTTGTGGGGCTATCAATTGCGACGTCACCACTGTTGCCACTTATCCAAATATCAAAGCTTCGCGCTCCCTTGGAGTCTGCGGCCACCTCAACGCCGATAGTGACGTCGACTGGCGTATATAACTTGTGAGACAGCACTTCGAGCACTTCCACTTACAACCACCCCCACGACCCTTCACGCCAACTTCACTCACCCAACTCTACCACCACCACTACTATAGTCATGTCCGTCAACGACCGTGAGCTCGGTGCCAACAAGGGCGTCGACACCTACCCCGGCGTTGCAAACCCCACCGTACACAACGGCGTCAATGACCCCATGGCCTTGAACTTCGTGCGTTGACTCCGTACTACACGCAGGGACACCTTGGCTCAACTTGCCCATTAGGTTAACGACCCAACAACCGAAGACACTGGTGCCGGTGCTGGCCCACGCTTCGAGGGCCACCAACAAGCCCAGCGCAACTTCAGGCAAACAGCAGGTGTTGTCGAGGGCAAGCCCGGCATTATCGAGTCAGCCAACATTGACCCCTTGAATGAGAACTCGAATAAGGGTATGTACTGGCGCCCTCGCTCTACAAGCGCTTCCTCGTGCTCATAATTTTATCATAGATGATGGTTGGGCAAACGCCACGCGCGCACCCGGTGCTGCATCCGGTGTGACTGGCGCAGCATCTGGCATCACGGGCACGGCTACCGAATATGCTTCGCAAGCAGCTTCAGTCGCCACCGGTGCCGCGAAGTTCGCCTATGGCCATGCTACGGGTAACGAGGAGGTCAAGCGCCAAGGCAGCGAAGCCGTCTGGGGCTCTGAGCAGTAAAGGAATTCTAGCATATACCATAGGGAATATTAGTGTACGATACTCGGGATGACTGACCGGATACATGCTATACATGTTGTTCTGCACACTTGCTCGCTTCTCTGTGTGATGTTCCCTGCCCGCTGCGTCGGTGAACAAGTGACATCTTTGATCGCCGACACACCCTCGGGTGAGGGCATGAGTGCATTCGGTTTTCCAGTTTCTTTGTATCGCTGTACGCCGTATGGTATGCTCGGCTAGATGCGCGTGTATCCTCCGCCGACTACACGAGGTTTCGTCGCGTCGTCTTGCTCTGTCCCACCACGAACCGCGCAGGCTTGATGTAGCGTCACGCCCCTCCGAAGCCCGAACACGCTGCTCAGAGGAAGATGCTATCAAACGTCTTGACGTGCAAGGATCCAAACGTTCATCGGACATCCCTGTGGCGTTCGAATTCAGTTTGTATGAACGCCTCAAGTTGCAGGGATGCCGCAGAATGGAGTCCCCTTTCTGCGGCAACGGTGTATCTCGAGATCCCTCTTTGTCTTCACGGACACTCGCACTCCGGAGAGCCTGAACGGCCTCAGAGCACCGATAAGATTGGCTGGGGGAATTAGCAGTATTGTTCCTCAGGATAGAGTCGGGCGCGTGTTCTATTCACCCCATAGATTCCCATCTAACCGTGGTTCTCACAATAAATGAACTGTTTCCCGAGGCCGCCGGAGAATACAGCGTGCTGCGTTCTCCATCACAGGCATCAAGCGACGGACGTCAAGCCTTACACGGCGTGGCCCGCATGTCAAGGCTATGGGTCGTAGTCCGTAGATAGCCCCAGGTATACCTAGATAGTATATGGAGACTACCAATATCTTGGCTACGCCTCTCTTGCGCCTCGTGAGCGGTATGTGGAGACGTTTGATGAGATGTGAACATCACTGCGGGCGGTTTCCCGCTCAGATCCAGGCCTTTCACGAGTTTATTGGCCACTTACCTCCAACCTCCATCATCGCAGTCGGTTTTCCAGTCGGACATAGCACCGATGGCAGCATCCGTCGATACATCGTACTCATCGCTACCAATCATCTCTACGGCTCCTGGTTGGAGTCAACAATTGCGATGATCTTCGCTGAACTCTAAGCGGACCGTGTGCTTCTCATCTTCGAAGGGCAGGAGTGCTTTATGAAGGGTTGATATACAGCAAGAGAGTTGCTGTTCGTTGCTAGAATACGAAAGCTATAGAACCTTACCGGTATCAGCAGGGCAAACAGGCCCTGCATTTTACCCCGCATCTAGGGTTACCTGACAGGCGGGAACGGCGGCGGCGGGTCGTCGCCCGCTACTCAATGAACAAGCTTGCACAGCCACTGGATCGGCCGGGGATCTCAACATCTCATCGAGTGCCCCTGCCTTCATGACTTGTCGATATTTCGCCCTCCGACGCCCTGGCCTTTGACGCCGCTTTTGCAAGGGTCCGCACGTCACACCCTCATATAGACGATCAAACGCGTTGGGAC